GTAAGCCCCCGGGGGAGGGGGGGGAGCGAGGCCGCCGATGGAGGGGGTGGGCTGGGGGAGCAGGCAGAGGATGGGGCCTGGCAGGAGCTGCCATGGTCCCCTCCACCTCCTCCAGCCTCTCCCCCCTTACTTACCAGCTCCGAGTCCAGCTCCAGCTCCCTGCTGCAACAGGCAGGGACCGCCTGAATCTTCAAAGCTCTCCAAATTTTTCAGAGAGCTTCCAATCAATTCAGACCTTTTTATTGGTCCTCTGATTCGATTCGGATTTGGAGATTTGGCCACTGAATCAGGCCGAATCTCCTCCAAATCGAATCACCACCCAAAGCTTTGCACAGCCCTACTGCTGAGCCTCACCACAATCCACCACAACTGCAAAAGGTACGTGTTCCTTCAGACAATGAGACCAATCAGCCTTACACCACTGCTTACCCCAGCCTTACTCTCAGGGCATATCATCATTTCACCATGACCAAGTCACCCCTCTTCAACTGCCCATCCCTCAGCTGTCCTTGGCTCCCTGGGTTCCTGCTCTCTGGGGGACACAAATATTTCACAGCACCACACTAAACAGCAAGCTTCTGCTTTCTGCCACAAAGCTAGAAGTACAACACATCCCATATGTGTGTGGAGGGAAGTGTCTGGACAGACAAAAGTGGGAAGGGGAGTCTCTTACCTGTCTGCATGTCTTACAGGGGCAGGAGTTGTTGTGTTTTCTGTGCCTGGCATCAGAGTCAGCTTATAAGAGTCTCGTGTGACCCCAGGCACCCTCCTCAGGAAGTAGGTGTAGAAAGATCGAGCCTCCAACTGCCTGTTAAAGATGCAGAAGTAAAAGTGTGAGAAAACCCTTTTCTGTTCCAACAGGCAGCAAGTCCTCTTTTAACTATGTGAGGTGCTACACACTGAGGGACAAGGATAGGCTCCTTCCAGCATAGGAAGCCTTCACACAGGCTAACACATGCTGTGGCCCTCAGCGCCCATCCTTGCCACGTGCATCCATAGGACCCAGCACGCTACATTCTCCTTGTCGGGGAGAGAAGGTGAGTCACATGCTCCCTCCACATCCTGTGCTGGAACTGGCCTCACTTGAATCTGGGGTTTGTTAACTCACCTCTCCAGTTGATGGGGCTTTGAAAGAGGAAGGGAAATAGAGGTATGCCAGGAAAATGGGGTAACAAATCTGCCCTCTCCCAGAAGATTTCTAGTCTATCTGGTTTGGTATTATTGCCTCTGGCAATAGCCATCCATCACCACCCTACTGCCTCCTACACTTCCTCCCAGCTTCTATGCCCTGCCCATAATTCCCTCCCACTTTGCTTCTCTCACCCATCTGCACATCCATCTTTTTCCATGAGGAATAATCCCATCCAGCTGCCCAAAAGATGGGGCATGGCTGGGTGTGTGCAGGAGGCATCCCAAGTGAGTTAGACATGAGTAAGGGCACAGCTCTTCTCTGCTTGGGCGGCTCCAGCTTACACAGCTGCTTCCCCTGCTCCACCCTCTACTCCCCACAGTCTCCTCTCACTATAGGGAAAGTGCCAAGTGCTTCCTAGAGCTCCCTGGTAGAAATGGCAGAGGTGACTAGGAAACATTTTAAATGTTCTTCCCTTCTCAGACTGGGCCAGCAGTGCCGCCCTCCTCCCAGTGTACTGCAGGGAAGCAGGAAGAAGCTTACAACAAGCTTCTGTGTGGACCCACCTCCTCTCAAGGGCATCCCTTCTTCTGTTATTTGAGACAACTCCCACTTGGTTTTGAAGGGGCCAGCTTTACCCCCCTCAAATTAACACCACCCTTTTATCCAAGGGGTTGAGGTCCAGCATGCACAGAGACTGGTATAGAGGAAACTCATCCCTGCCCACTAACCACCACCAACTCCCTGCCTGGGCACTCAAGGTCCTGTGGAGGGTTGGGGGGAATCTCTTGGATGGCTTGTCAAGGTCAGGGGATCAGGAGGTAGGACTCCTCATAAAACCCACCCAAGATGAGCAAAACTGTCAGGCAGCACAAGTTGCAGCAGCCTGAATGCTCAGGGGAGCAGACAGTGAGAAGCCAGCACTTTTCCACTCTGCTTTCACCGCCTGATGTTTGTCTGCAAGCAGATGGTGGAGAGACGGCTTCGTCACAAGCAATTTTCCCCTCCACCAGCTCCATGGCAAGGAAACAATGACTGAGCTCTTTGGCAAAGCTGGCATCGTCAAGAGCACCCCTCCCCCACTTCTACTTTGTCACCCCATCCCTCCCTCCCCCCTCCCCTGCAGGACACGCAGCATGGCTGAAGCATACAAATTCCACATTTCCCACCAGGGAAACCTGGCCTGCTGTCTGGTGGCAGGGCAAGATGGCACCATGCCCTCCCTTGTGCCTTTCCTTAGGAAGTCACAGGTGCCTCGGAGCTGTCTTGCCCCACCAC